GGGGGGGGGGGGGGGGGGGGGGGGGGGGGAGCCTGGGGATGCTCACCCTTGTAGCGCAGGTGGGAGTGTGCCATGAGCTGGTCAATCATCAGGTGCATCTGCCGTAACTTCCGGGGACAGAAGTCCTCCCTGCGTGCCTTGTTCTGAAGGAAGACTTGGGGGGGGGGGAACGGGCGGAAGGTACAGCCATGCAGCAGACAACGCTTAGCCTTGCCCTACACTCTTTCCCTACTAGTTCAAGTCATTCAGTATTTGTGAGCAGGGAGGTGCTGGGGACAGACAGTCAGACCCAATTTCCAGCATCAAGGATCCCTAGCCCGATGACAAGACAGACAAGGACAGCTGTGTGATCAGGAACACAAGAGGAGGCTAGTGTGTACACGTGTGTGTCCAGAAACACAATCGTCGAAGCGCACCAGGGAGGACACAACAGGCAGAGAGCAGGTCCCTCCCCCTGGGACATCAAGGACACAGAAACAGCAGGCCAACTACTCTCCCGTTCTGACTTGGAGCCAGACCCAGGCTTGGCCCCAGCCTTGGACTGAGACAGTGGGGACCAGAGAGGGAGCTTCAGAGACTCCCCTCTCACAGGCACAAAAGTGTTCCCCAAGTCTTCATGCCTGCACACCCTCTTGTCCCAGAGCAGCTCTCACCGAGGTGCGGGTAGTACTCAGTGCCCTCATCCGAGCCTGCGGAACTGCTGGACTCATGGCTGGGGGACGGGGTGGACGGCTTCACCATCTCAGCCGTTTGCAGGAACCTGCAGGTGTGGAATGAGGGGCTGATGGCCATGTATGTGCACCCCCTTTCCACATCCTGGGGAGGATGCCCCTTGAGATTCTGGTCAAAGTCAGACAACCTCCTCATGCACTTTTAGGGTTATGACACCAGCTCATGGCACCTGGATCAACCGCGCTGTCTTTGAGTTTTGGCGTGTGTCTGTAATCCCAGCCACCTGGGATTTGAGGCCAGTATGAGCTACATAGAAACTGAGTCCCTCAAAAACAAACAAAACTCCAACAAATTAAGAATAAAACCAACCAAGATCTCTCAAGACAGTTTCTGACCCATGCTCCTGCATGCACAGCGGGCATCTGTGACAATGGCAGACCAGAGCATGATCATCACTGTCCCCCAGTTCACCCTGCACACAGACACTCTAGTCTGGAGACATGCACTGGGCAGGAAGTCCCCAGCATAGCAGGGGTGGGGGCTACTGTGCTGGAAGTCCCCTGTGCTATGCTAGTTCACCATCATCCCCCTCCTGTCCCAGGCCTTGCCTCCTCGAGGCTGTCACATGGCCAGAACCACACATGCTGCAGCCTTCCCACACTGGCTTCTTAACAATATGCATTTAAGGTTCCTCAGTTCCTTTCATAGCTTGACAGCTCATTTCTTCCTAGTGCTGAATAACACCCTATTGTCTGGATGGACCCATTTCTTCATCCATTCACCCACTCAAAGCATGCTGGCTGCTTCTGAGTGGCCATTATGAACAGAGGTGCTATAAATATCTGCACACAGGTCTTTATGTGGATGTTCTCACTCTGTGCTGTTTTCCAACACATTTTCCAAGTGTGTAACAGTAAATAAAACAAACCCGTTATCTAATGGGGAAATGAGACCTGTTAAGTACATGGGCTTTCTCTACATGTTTTCCCATGATTTCCAGGGTCCAGCTTCAGACCATGGGTTCACAACAAAGCTCTGTCGAGGGTCCTAGCAGAACACAACCCCCACAGGAGCCACCTGTTCTGTGTTTTTCACACCTGTGCGCCCAGAGCCTGGGACAGGGCTCCTTCATTTACTTGTATGAACGAATCCTGGTGGATGGTGGTAGGGGGATGCTCCAGAATTACATCACTCAGGTGTGGCCACACCCTTCTGCTTCCTGGTAAGACTTCTACTGCTGTGGAGACCCACCACTCAGCCCCACCTCTAGAGTTATCCAGGAGCAGCCCCCACCAAACATGTGCTTCTCTGAACCAGGAACTGTGCTGTACCCACTACTGTGCCGTTCAGGGCACAACACTGCCACAGTGGGTCTGTACCAGTACTATGCTGTTGTGGGCGCTGCACCGGATGCTTTGAGCTCCTTGATTTACTCGGTCTGCACAGAATGAGGAACACAGGCAGGTACCCACTCAACATAGCTGGGATTCAAACTTTGGAAACACCTAATTTTGGTGTTTTGGGGACCCCAGTTGCTCAGGCAGAACTCTCCTCCCCATGGCCCACCGCCTTATTCCTGCTGCCCAAGGGACCAGACAGTACGCATGCTTGCTGGAAAACCAAACTCCAAGGACTGAACAAACCCGCCCCTGTGCACTCTGCACCCGCCTGTGTTAGACCCTGCATGTAGTGCTGGGAACCTGCACCAAGGGAGGTCATCAGAACAGTGGTGTCACTTCAGAGTGGCAGGCACCATGGTGGGGGTGTGGGAAGGGAGGGGAGAGGACTGAAGCTGGCCTCACGCCATGAGGGCATCAGAAAAGATATACAGGCCAAGTGCTTCCAGCCAGGGACAAGAGGCATAACGAGGAACACCTTGGCACTGAGCTGCAGGAGGGATGGCTAGCCAGATGCCCGGGGTGTCTTCCTCACGGTGTGGGCCCTAGGTTAACCAGATCCCCAGGGTGTCTTCCTCATGGTGTGAGCCCTAGGCTAACCAGATGCCTGGGTGTCTTCCTCATGGTGTCGGCGCTATCAGGCAGCACAGAAAGGGCTGTGCTCACCACACGGAGGTGAGGTCCATGGAGGGGTAAGCGCTTTGCAGGCTGTCGCACTGCATGAGTTCAGTTGTGCCCACTGGCTAAAGACCACCATGTCGGGCTTGTTGACCACTGACTTCCCTCACAGCAGAGGGTGAGGAAGGCATGAGACCCTCGCCTGAGTGTCCAGCCACTCCTCCCAAGTAGCTGTTTGCAGTTCTGCCCTAACTGCACCTGTGTCAGGGAGGGCACAAACATGCATGCTGGGAAGGACTAGGGAGGGGCTCCATCCTCATAGCCACAGGGAAGCCATCGTCCTTCCATGTGCAGGCCTTCCCATGGGTGGCTTTAAGACGACTTACGCTCCTGCTGCAACCACTGCCCTGTAAGCAGTCTACTAGTGACTGAGAGAACTTGGTGGAGGTTTGTTACGGGGCCTTAGCAGAGGAGACATGCATTACCTAGACCCCAGTGTGGAGAAGCCAGCAGAGGCCTTTGGACCTGTAGGAACGACCAATTACAACAAACATGCAACAGTATCCCCATGGGTACCGAGGGGACCAGTGGGGCCCTGGCCTGAGGCTGTCCTCCCTCCAGCCTGTCTCGCAGCTCACCTGTACAGACTGAGGTCCGTGAACCAGTCCTGCACAACGATCACCACATGGCAGACCGTGAAGAGGAAGGCAGCTATCTGCAGTGACTGTTGGGAGGGATGGGGAGGGCAGAGGTCAGACACCAGCTCTTCTTTCCAGGACGCAGCTCAAGGAGCAGCACAAAGGGCTTCTTTCTGTGAGCGACACTGTGTGACTTGTTTCCTTACAGGCCAGCCCTAAATGTGGCCAGGTAGGAAGCAGCAGCCGCCTTACATAGAGGGGCACCAGACTGAGGGCAAGGGGTGGAAAGTGACTGCTGGAGGCCAGGTCTGTCCTCAGCCAGAGCTGCCCCCTCTCCCCCAGCCCAGGCCCTGGTCCACCCCCCCGCCCCCCTCCTCAGCCCTCAGCTCAGCCCCTATCAGACTCCCTCACCTGCATTTCCACATAGGTGTGAGGGAGGTTGTACTCTGGGGGCAGTTTGCGGTCATTATTGATGAGGTGGTCCAAGATGGATGGGCTTAGGATGGGCTGCAAGAGATGGACCCGGAAGGTGAGGCAGTTGCTGCAAGGCATGCTCTGAGAGTGCAGGAAAACACTGCCGAGGACAAAGTGAGGCCAGCAGCAGAGCAGGTCAGTCTAACCAGCGCAGCGCTGGTCAGCAAGAGGGGGCGAACCATCAACTCCCAGCCTTCCTGAGCCAAGCCTTGCTGTTTCCAAGAGCCTGGAGTCCCAAGAGCCCCTGGTGCTCCTAAGTTTCACAGAGCATAAATAAGCCCTGGCCCCTTTAAGACTCTTTGTCGCTGGCTGTTTTTTATGTGCTTCCAAAGTGTTGCTGAAATAATTACTTAGGTCAAAAAATGATTAGTGTGAAACTTGGTGTGAATTTACAAATTGCATCCGTGCACATAGAAGAAACAGGGGTTAGCACACTGAACTCTCCTGAAAGTCACAGTCAGCTGAACACCTCGGGAAACCACTCTGGTGTCAGCCATACTGCCGCTTAGCAGAGGTGAGCTGTTCGGGAAGGTGCTCTTAGCCAGGCTTGCTTGTGTTCAGGTCCCTGCAGACCCTACACAACAAGGTCTGGCACTCAGGGTTCCAGGTTTTCCTGAAGCCTTTCCAGATAGCAGGTTTTTCACTCTATGTTGTCAGTGTCTGGAGAGCAGAACCTCCCCAAGGGGAAGTAACAACGCTGGGCCAGGCCCAGTGCCCAAAGGACTCCAGGCAGTTGGGGACTGGACATACACAGCAGTGATTCACACCACAGTGGAGGGGTGTGGAGAACAGAGGCATCAGAGGCCGCAAATGTCAAGAAGCATGCACCATTGGAGTCTTCGGAAGGGAGACACTGGCCAGGCAAACAGATCAAAGTGTAGAGAGAGTCTGTTCTAGAGACCACAGTGCTGAGAGCTGGGAGCATCCGGCTCAGGTCTACCTCTGTCAGGGCTACTGTGAAACTTTAAACCCCGGGGCAACTCCCAGGCAGACAGGCAGTATGACTTCCCTTTTCTGAAACTTGGGGTCAGAAATGGAAAAGGACCTGTGAAGGGCCTGAGGGTGAGGAGCTGAGGACCACTGCCTAGATATCCATGGCAGGTCAGTCCCAATGATAGTGACAATTCTAAGCAAGAACCTGGTACCAGGTGTTGGTCAAACACTTTTCTTGGACCATTCCATAGACTAGAACGAGCTTCCAAGAGGCTGAGTAGGGCCTGCACCCCCACTGACAGGTGAAGGGGCAGAGTTCAACTTCAGGTCACATTCCTGATAAGGTTGAAGTTCAGGATCTAGACTGATAGACCCGAGGCCACACCTGAAGGCATGGTGCTTGGAGATCCTCCAGGCCACAGTGCAAAAGTGAATGTCACACTCTAACAGGAGAATGCTAAGGGCCAGGGAGAGGGGGCTGGGGCTGGGCTGGTACCTGTGTGTCTAGAAAGACGATCCGCTCCTGGGTAATGAAGAAGTCGATGCCACTGGTCTGGTTGCCCCCTCGTTCCTTCATCTCGGCACTCTGAGCCCGGAAGACATACGCCCTATGAGGAGAACACGTGGAGCACATGAGCTGTCTGGCACTGACACAGAATACCTGAGACACAGACCCTCCGCCAGCCCCCAGGCCTTCCATCTCTTCCATCTGACGCCACGGCTAGGGAGTGACGACATGATTTTCAGCACACAGCTTCATGCCCTGCCCACAGGTACAGTCAGTGCAGCTAAGGGAGTCAGCAGACTCTAGCGTTTACAGGCACAGGCAGAGACTGCCAGACTTCCAGGTTACAGATCTCAACTCTGTCTTCCTGGCCCTTAAGCCTTCTTCCTCATTTTCCTTATCTGTAATATGGAGATGACAAGGGCAGAAAGACTATGCGGCTAAGAAAAGACAATGATGGGATGGGTGGGGGTGGTGGATCTGCTCTGAGGGCAAGGAAGATGCTCCAGGGAGCAAGTGAAGAGGGACAGGCAGTACATGTGAGGACGGGTGGATGCAGATCAGGGCTGTTAGACTGACAGGAGGCACAGAGGGCAAGACTGAGGAGAAAGGCAACAACGGGCCAGGTTGAGGCAGGAGCATCAGCAGGCAGACATATAGGCCTTTCTTCATGGGACACAGGCAAGAGTTGGGGTGGGGGTGTATGAGTCCAGATGCCCTGAAGCAGACGAGTGATGAATAGATTTTGGTTTGGAAAATGCCCCTCTCTGCTGTGTGCAAGGACTGCAGGAAAGGCTGGAGGTGGCTCCGCAGATAAGGGACCTCCCAGGGCCTCTCACATTCATTCCTATAGCCCTCTGCGCATGTTTCTCTGCAGTGTGACTGAGACCCATGGGCCTCACTTGGCAAGCTGTCCCTGAGCTACTGACCCCCTTCTTGTTTGCTCTGCAACTCAGGCCCAAATCCCGGGCCTAAGGCTTTGTGTCTGTATTCCCTCTCATTAGGGCACACTATCCATTGAGTCCATTCTTCCTTCAGTGCTGGATTTAAAAACTGTAATCTGGCCAATTGTTAAAACTGGTTTTGTTGTCCTTGAACAAGGATAAGGTTGAGGATGACCTTGAACTGATTATGTAGGTTAACCTCAAATGCCTGATCCTCCTGCCTCCACCTCCTGAAAGCTGGGACCACAGGCATTCACCACACGCCTGGCTGTTATCATCCTCCAACATGCCAAATGGCTCTAACATGCCAGATGGATTCTCTTTACAAACTCCCCAGAAAACAAGCCCACATGGCAGGCTATGACAGTCACGTGTATTGTGGAACCCAGCACCAAGAACAGGGGCTGGCAATGTAAGGAGCATTTGGTACACATTTGCTGAATTGAGCGAAGGCACAAAGACTGGCTGGGTAGATCTCAGCATCTGCCAGGGGAGATAATGGCTGGGAGCAGGGGTTGGGCATGAAGGAGGGGAAGCAGGCTGTAAATGAGGTGAAATCTTTAGGAGTTGACAAAAAGAGCCATGGGTAAAATGCAAACTGAGACAGCGGTTTCTGGAGTCTGGACAGAGAGCACAGGGGACTGTGCCTGCTGCTACGAGGGGTGTGCAAAGATGCCACCCAAGAGGTAAAACAGCATGACGGCACAGGCAGCTGTATATGCAACTGGGCAGAGGCCAGGGATGGGGAGGCAGTTGGACCTTTGCACTTTAGGCTCAGGCAATGGTGCTCCTTAACCTTTTCTGGGTTTCCACCAGGCCAAGACTTGGTAAGAAGTATGGGCCCTTTCCCCTAGAAGTAAAACCTGACACTGAGACAGAGGGATTATGGGATAGGGGCCAGCCTGGACTATGTAGAGAGACCTTGTCTTAAAGAAACAAAACCCCCATCTCCAATCACAGCAACAATGAAACTGTGCTTCAGATGCAAGACTCCACACAAAGGGCTCACAGCCCTTTGTACACTAAGGATAAGGCACCCTCTGTACAAAAGCCCAGCTCCAGCTTCTGGGAACAACCTGGCCTTCGTTCCTAACTGTGTCTGGTGTTGAGCAGTCTTATGTCAACTCCACACATGCTGGAGTCATCTGAGAGGAGAGAGCCTCAACTGAGAAAATGCCTCGGTAAGACTGGGTTGCAGACAAGCCTGCAGGACTTTTCCTAATTAGTGGTTGATGGGGGAGGGCCCAGACCATGACGGGTGGTACCATCCCTGGACTGGTGTCCTGGGTTCTATAAGAAAGCAGGCTTAACAAGCCTGTAAGCAAGCCAGTAAGCAGCACCTTCGATGGCCTCTGCATCAGCTCCTGCCTCCAGGTTCCTGCCCTCTGAGTCCTGCCCTGACTTCAATGATGAACAGCAATATGGAAATGTAAGCTAAATAAACCTTGCATTTTGGTCATGGTGTTTCATTACAGCAATAGTGTTGTGTTGGTACCAGGATAGTGGAGTACTGCTGTGACAGACCTGACCATGTTGTTTTGGAGAGGACTGTGGAAGGGCCAGCATCACTGAGGTGAGGTCTTCTGGGAAGTGCATCCTGTGAGTCATCACAGAGAAGCTGTGTTCCAGAGGTGGCCAAGGTTGTACAAGTTGGCAACTGAACTTGGTAATGTAAGTCACCCAGGAAGTGCTGCTTTTGAAGGCAGGAAGGGGTCATGGAGAGCAGCTGAGGCTTGGCACTGTGAGAGGCCAGGAGAGGCCACCGGGGAAGGTGCAGCCTCAGTGGCAGTTGAAGGCTCAGGACGGAAGGGGTCATGTAAAGAAGTTGAGTCTTGGCACCATGAAGAGAGCCTAGGGGAAGCTATTGGTGAAAGTACAGCCCAGCTGTAGCAGAAGACCCCAGTGTTTTGGCGATGCCAGTACCATGGTGTCTTAGTTAGGGTCTCTACTGCTGTGGTGAAACACCATGACCAAAGAGCAAGTTGAGGAGCAAAGGGTTTATTAGGCTTACACTTCAGCATTGCTGTTCATCAGCAAAGGAAGTCAGGTCAGGAACCTGGAAGCAGCAGCTGATGCAGAGACCATAGAGAAGTGCTGCTCACTGGCCTGCTCCCCTGGCTTGCTCAGCCTGCTCTCTTATAGAATCCAGAACCAGCAGCAGAAAAATGGCAGCACCCACAATGGAAATGAACCCTGCCCCATTGATTGCTAATTGAGAAAATGCCTTACAGGCGGATTTCACCAAGGCATTTCCTGAACTGAGGTTCCTTCCCCGATCACCCTAACCTGTGTCAAGTTGGCACACAAAACCAGCCAGCATACATGGGATAAGCACCAAGAACAGCAGCTGTGGTGCAGTGGAGCTGCAGAACCCAGAAGACAAGTGTGTGAGCGGTAGATGGTGGAGCTGGAGAAGTGACGCAAGGCCCTTGGAGGAGTCCAGAAGATCGAGTGAATCCCAGACATTGGACGTTGAGCTATTTATATTGTTGGTTTTGCTTTGATCTGATTTTGACTGTACCCTGGTTCTTCCCTCTTGAAACAAGAAAGTATTTAACTTAATTTTGCTTTTTATGGGGGTCCACAGTAGAAGAGATTTTTGATTTTTAAAGAGATGGGTATTGGGATGGAGAGATGGCTCAGAGGTTAAGAGCATTGCCTGCTCTTCCAAAAGTCCTGAGTTCAATTCCCAGCAACCACATGGTGGCTCACAACCATCTGTAATGAGGTCTGGTGTTCTCTTCTGGCCTGCAGGCATACACACAGACAGAATATTGTACACATAATAAATAAGCATTTTTTTTAAAAAGACTGTAGGTCTTTTAAAGTTATTTATGTCTTTCACGTGAGATCTTGGGATCATTGAGAAAGGAAAGGTTGTGGCTGAATGTGGTATGTGTGTCTGTCAAGATGACAAGGAGTCAATGTGCTGCATGGTTTTATGTCAACTTGATACAAGCTAAAGTCATGGGAGAGGGAACCTCAATTAAGAAAATACCTTCACGGGTTGGGTGGTGGCAGCACACATCTTTAATCCCAGTATTTGGGAGGCAGAGGCAGATGGATCTCTGTGAGTTCAAGGCAGGCTGGTCTACAGGGCAAGTTCCAGGTCAGCCAGGGCTACACAGAGAAACTCTGTCTTGAACCACCTGCCCCTCAAAAATGAAAGAAAGAAAATGCTTCAATAAGATCAGGCTGCAAGCAAAACTGTTTTCAACCTTTCTAATGCCGCAACCCTTTAATACAGTTCCTCAGGCTGTGGTGACCCCCAACCATAAAATTATTTTTGTTACTTCTTCATAACTGTAATTTTGCTACTGTTAATGAATTGTAATGTAAATACCTGTGTCTTCCAATAGTCTTAGGTGACCTGTGAAAGGGTCAAGACCCACAGGTTGAGAACCACTGCTGTAGCGTATTATCTCATGGCCTAGACCACGGCAGGTGGTACCACCCTTGGGCTGCTGGTCCTAGGTGGATTCTATAAGAAAGCAGGCTAAGCGAGCCATGACAGCAAGCCAGTAAGCAGCTCTCCTCCACTGGTCTCTGCATCAGCTCCAGTCTCCAGGTTCCTGCCTTGTTTGAGTTCCTGCCCTGACTTCCTTCAGTGATGGACTATGATGTGGAAATGGAAGTCAAATAAGCCCTTTCCTCACCAAATTGCTTTGGGTCATGATGTTTCATTACAGCAATAGTAACCCTAACCAAGACATGGCCTATCCCTATTTTGAGTCTTCCTTTGGTCTTCTCAAGCTCTTCTAGTTCCCCGTCCCTGCCTTCTCTGCTCCCGCTAGGTTGTGTAGATAGAGAGGGGAAGTTCCAGTGAGGCACTGAGCGGAATCAACTTTAGGAAAGAGGCTAATTAATGCCAACAGTATGGTGGCACCTGAAGTAGTAAGTCCCAAGACACTGCAAGCCAGATGTCTTGTGTTAAGAGGTGCCTTAGGAGACAGTAGGGAGAACCTAGTGGATGTGTGTGTGTGTGTGTGTGTGTGTGTGAGCATGTGCACACGAGAGAGGGGGAGAAGGCAGGCATACGTAACGTGGGACATGTGGCAGGTCACTCTCCATGTAGGGCGTAGGGCTTGGTTAACCTATGACTCGCGTATGTGGAAAAGTTATTTCTAGGAGGGCCAGGCTTCCCTGCCCCAGTGTCAGGATGCAGTTCTTAAGGTCCCCTTCCAAATCCTCTCTTCTACTACACCATTTATCTTCATCTTGTGCAGGTCAGCGACACCTCAGGCCTCACCGTTCCTGTGCAGAGGAACATAACACAGGAGGACCAAGGCTAGCACAGAACCTGCTCTTTCCCTGTCCTATCTCCCAGATTACCAGGTACCCTTAACTCTTAGGCTCTGTGCCAGCTGCTTCATCCATCAATCATTCACTTGAGGGGCTGGAGGGATGGCTCAGCAGTTGAGAACACTGGTTCAGTTTCCAGTGCCAACATGGGAGGCTCACACTGCCTGTAACCACCATTCCAGGAGATCTGAAACCTTTCCTGGCTTCCAGTGGGCACCATGAAGCAAGCAGTACATAGACATATACACAGGCACAACACTCAAACGCATAAAAGTTAAATTAAAAGACTACCTGAGCAAGAGGAGAGCCTGAGGCAGCCACCACCTTCTGAAAGCCTTGGTGAGCCTCACTCCACAGACAGTCCACACTCATCCTCGTCCACAACATGAGCCCAGGACAGGAAGCCACCTTGAAGCCTTTCGTTACAATCCCAGTCCCCCTCCCCATGGATGCCCACCTTCCCCTGGTCTTCAACACTGTTCCGTGCCTCACCTCTGGTCTTCTTCTGGAGTGTTTGCCGACAACAGTGACATGACCATGGACTTGCCTGTCCCCTGGAGGCCCAGGACACCGACCACTAACACGTCAGTCTGATCTAGCAGGTACTGGGGGGCAATGGAAGACATGAGCCTCACAAGCCTAGTGGAGCCTGGCAGGGGCAGCTAGGGAGGGTTGAATACCAGTGGGGAAAGGCCAGTGTACTTCAGGGGGAGGAGTGGAGAGGCAGGAAGACAGGACCACCCAAGTCAGCCCCCTGCTCTGGGCAGTCTCTGCAGATCAGAGTGTGATTAGATCAGAACAAGGAGCTAAGTCTGTAAACAACTGAGACCTTTGCCGATCTTTACCACCAGGGGGCAGAAGAACCTCTTCCAAAGGTCAACTGGAGTCTAATGAGCCAAACTACCCAGGACTGGGGTTCGCTGTGGCAGCAGGATCACATGTGGCTATTTTAATTCATTAAATAGGGGTCACAATGTCAAGTGCTCAGTAGCCCTGCAGAGGTGGAGGCTGCCAAACGAGGCAATGCAAAAAGAGTGGCTTATCACTACAGAAAGGGCCCAGTGGAGCCAGCACTGGCATGCTGCGCTACCAGGCTGAGGCTACAGTGTAGGAAGGGGCGGCCCTTCCAGAGTCTGCTGAACAGTGGAAGAGGTACAAAAGCAGAGAGGCACAGGCACGTCGGCCTGATAATACGATGCCCTCGCTAGAGCAGGAGCTGCAGGGAAGGAGCCTCTGGCTGGCACTGTGAAGACCGCATGCAGCTGGACCCCGGAGGAGTGTGGGAGCGGGATCAGGACCTTCCTCTGCTGTGCCATGGCACACAGGTTCTGGTATTAGGGTAGCAGGGATGTCTAGCAAGAGACATCGGAGCATGTCAGGGTTTCAACTAGCCCTGGTGTCACAGGAGGCTAAGGCAGGAAAACTGGACAGTTCAAGAGTAGCTTGGGCAACTTAGTACCCTACTTCTGAACCAAAAAAGTTCAAAGCAGCCTGGAGCTGGAGCTCGGGAACAGAGAAGTTGTTAGCGTGCAGGAGGCCCTGGGTCCAATCCCCACTGTTTCTCGCCTAATATCAGCAAACCCAGTCTTTCAACTGCAGCCCTAAGCTGGATGGGAGCTCCTGGCAGGTCCTGAGGGCTGTTCTGGAGGGGTATGGACAGACGTGTGGGACTTAGGGAGGCCGTACCTCAATGGCACTGTCACACCAGTTCATCTGGTCGTCCACCAGCTTGATGCTGTGCTTCATGCGCTCCGGGGGCAGGAGCTTGGCCTGGCCCACCACAGCTGGACAGAGAGAGAGAGAGGATTCATATAGAGGTGAATACTTTGCATTGGTATGAGTTTTGGTCCATACAGATTTAAGGTCAATATGTATTTCTGCTCTTAAGGTATTACGTTTGCAGCTCATTTAAAAATGTAATGTATAATCAAGAAATACAGGTTAATAGATAGTCGTCTATAATAAACTTTTAGTCGTGTTAGTTTCTAGATATACAGAGATATATTTCAGTTAGATAATCTTCAACACTCCAAAGACCTACAGAATATGGCATTTAAAATGGTTTAAGAACTTAGACTTTTCTTGACAGTGAGACATGCCTGCTTCTGGCAACACCAATTCAGAGAGGTTAATGGGCATTGAAGAAACTTGTTATGGCATTTGCCTTCAATACAAGGCTAGCCATTTGGGCAAGAAATTGCTCTTGCCTGGACTGCTTAATGGTATGCTGTATGAACTGGACATGCAGGACCCACAGAAAAGTGACTGCTAAACTTTCCAAAAGATGGGCTGGTCCTTCAGGGTTCCTGCTTCACAGAAGAAACTGCCAGACACTCTGCAGGACACAGAAGACAGGAACTGACAAACTTTGCCATTACAAGGCAGAAAAAAAACCCTTATTTCCTGCTTCATGGAAAAGACTGCTGCCAATAGACTGAGGTGGATGCCCCAACATCAAGAAGAGCTTTGGGTGACTGTCAGGCCACAAGATGTCTCTGTCAATTCTAGAGTTTTGGAAGTTGCTTACAGTGCACTTCTGTTTACTTAGGTAATATTATATCCTTCTGGGGTCTTTGCTGGAGTTGAAGACAGTTATAGTTTTCCTTAGTTATGATGAAAGATAAATTAGATATAAAACTGTAGACTCACAAATACAGAATAAAGTATTTTTCTTAATTTGCCAAATGTAAATGGACTAAATATTGTAACTATAATTTTTGTTTGATAACTGTTTTGCTATATGTAATTTTACTATGTTAAAAGTTAAAACCTTCCTTTTTTAATTAGATAGAAAAGGGGAAATGATGTGGGAAGTCCTTCTGTATATGTGTTGCTTTTATTGGTTAGTGAATAAAGCTGTTTTAGCCAATGGCTTAGCAGAGTAAAGTCAGGTGGAAAATCTGAACAGAGATAAAGAGAGTAGGCAGAGTTAAGGAAAAAGATGCTGCGGCCGGAACCTTTTTGGTAAACCATGGCCTCATGGCAATACACAGATTAATAGATAAGAATTAATTTAAGATATAAGAGTTAGCTAGAAAGATGCCTAAGATATTGGTCAAACAGTATTGTAATTAATATAGTTTCTGTGTGATTATTTGGGTCTGAGTGTCTGGTAAACGAAAGTACAGTTGCCATCTACACAGGGCAGTGAGGGTCTGAGTGGGCCAGGAAGGCAGGAGCGTGGCCTGGCCCACCATGGCTCGATGGAAAGAGGAAACAGGACAGAGAGGATCTAAGGCGGCTAGGAACTGGTCCCTGCCTAGGCTGTGGGGTCCACTCACGGTCCATGGCAGTTGGTGCTGCAGTGCCCATGCCCCGGTTCTGAATCTGGTACACAGGCTGCGTGGGTCTCTGCCCCTCCTTCTCTCCTTTGGGTGGCGCAGGGGCTGTGGGGGGTGGTGGGGCAGTGCCCTCAGGGGTGGTAGCCCCTGTTCCAGCCACAGGCCCCTTCCCCTCCTCACGTGGTTTCATGAGCACAATGGGTTTCTCCAGTGGGGCTGGGGCTGGTGGTGCTGCAGGGGCTGTGGTTGGTGGCGGCTGCTTTGACTGTGGGAGTGAGAAGGTTGCAGATCACCGTGAAGACCTCCCATCACCCCTCTTCCCACCTCCCTCCTGAGGTCCTCAATGCTCACCCGCTCTGCTGGGGGCTTTGAGAGGATAATGGGGGTTTTTTGCATGACGTTAGTGCTGGGGTCTTCGCTGCCATCCTGAGGAGAGAGAATGCAGCTATTAATCCAGACAACCTCCATGATGCCTCCCAACCCTACCCAGGTGCTGATACTACACCCATGAGACTGGAAACCCATGCAGAATGTGGCTGAGCATGGGAACTCGCTCTTAACTATTCACCCGGCTTCAGAGTCACATCTTCGCCACCCCTGACAGCGTCCTCTGCAGCCCCATAGGAAGGAGGGAGAGTGGGGTGTGGGAACCCAAGTAAGAGCTACACCCACTTCTACCTGGTCAACCTTGGGGGAAGGGCAGGAGCTCCACCTTCACAGGACAGTATAGGACAGAGGGAAACTGCCTGTGTGTTGCCTAGTGGGACCCCTGATACATGGCAGGTGCCTGCTCTGTGAGAGCCACTGGGATCCTTACTACTCTGACTGCCAAGCCCTTGGCCCTGTCCCTGTTCTCACAGGCAAATGCACTCCTTCCTATGTGTCATCCTCTTCTGCCTCCCAATCACCCTTAGTCTAGAGGGGAAGGTTCAAATTTCAGGCCTGCTCCTGGTTAAGGTCACTGTGGACCCTCACTGGGCCTGTTTCTCTGTAAGTCCTACTCATTCTGCTGGCTCAGAGGCCCGCTGGAACCCCAGGATGACCCAGAGTGCTTTAGCAAGAACAGCTCTGAGAGAACACCTCCAGCACCGAGGCTGGGGCAGGGGGTGACAGACAGCTGTGCTCATGAACAGGGGTGTCTAACAAGGAGGATGGGAAGGGCAGGGGATCCAGAACAAGCCCAGCAGGAGAAGAACACACATGAGCAGAATGACAAGAAGGGGCTGCGGTCAGGTGGGTAAGGAGGATGTACAAAGGTCAGGGAACAGCCTCGCCTGAGACAAAGGTAAGATTTTCAGCAGCTTCTTCAGGGACTATGGCTGACAAGCTGTGGGAAGATCTGGACAGTACCCCAAAGGTTGTGCATGAAACAGAGTCCATGGGCTCACATGGCACTTGTGAGGGTTCAGGAAGCCCCACAGAGACAGGACTCTCTACAAACAGTGGCATACATGCCCTGTTAGTGGGGCACGCGACTCTGAAACAGGAGCCGGTATCAGCTCTGGCTCAATCCTCTCTGTGAAACGCCGTCATGCCAGTGGGATCTGAGCTCACTCCTCTCAGGCCCCCCGCTTGCTGCAGCCTCACCAGCCACCACACAGGTCACCACGACCCCTGCACATGGTGTTCTGTCCACAGTGCTCTTCATCTAGGGTCTGGAATGGCTTGTCCCTTCACCTCCTTCAGGCCCCAACTCAAAGTCACCTCTTGGTGCTGGAGACATGGCTCTGTGGTTAAGAGCACTTGCTGCTCTTCCAAAGGACCTGAGTTCAGTTCCCAGCACCCACAGCACGTGGCTCACAACTGTCTGTAACTCCAGTTCCCAAGGAATCTGGTGCCTCCAAGGGTACCTGTACTCATGTGAACATTCCCATTCCACGTAACAATAATAAAATAAACCTTAAAAAAGGAATAAAAAAAACCCCAAATCACAAAGTCACCTATTAAAAGGTCTTCTTAACCACATCATCAAAAATAGCCCCTTTATTATTCTCCCTCCTTGCTTTTTGAGGGCAGTTTTGGACATGGATATGTCCACTAGCCCTGTATTGAGCCTGGCTGACGGCAGGAGTTCAACCAAACAAGAGCCCTGGATTTCTGTATGCCATCTTTGGGGTCACTCACCCGTCTCTCTCTCTCCCAGGGTGCAATGTAGTCTCTCTCCCGACCTCCAGGCCCAGAAAGGTTCTGGGGGCCACTGGAGCCCGGCTCCTTCCACCGCCGCCGCCGCTCTACCCCATAGAGCCCAGGCTGACTGTGCCCAGACTCTGACATGGTCACCTGGAGGGAACAAGGAGATTTTAGCGCAAAGGAGTCCTCCCTCTCCATGGGGCTCATCTGACTATATGAAGGCTCCTCCTTATAAAAGGAACCACTGGACCAGAGAGATGGCTCAGTGGGTAAAGATGTTTGCCACCAACACTGATGACCTGAGTTCAATCCCCAGAACCCACATGGTGGGAGAGAACTAACTGACTTCACACACCAAGTTACCAATGCTTCCGGCATCCACACATACCTGCACCCATTACACCCACCCACCCACTGTTATAAATGAATCCTCACAAAAACAACCAAAACCAAACCCCACAAACAAACCAGAGGCTGGAGAGATGACTCAGCAGTTAAGAGTACATACTACTCTTGCAGAAGATGGAGTCCCATTTCCAGCATCCACATCAGATGGCTCACAATCACCTCAAACTCCAGCTCTGGGGCCCACCGCCCTCTTCTGGCTTCCTTGGGTACTACACGCAAGTGCATGAAACCACATACATACATATGCACAGAGAACAACCCAAAGGGAGATCTGTGGCTGAGGGACCAGGTGGCCGCCAGTGTCCTGTATCTTTCCTGACTTCTTCCATTTGGTGAGGTAAACACACAGCTATCCAGAAAATACTTTTTTAATTTTTTTTTTTTGGTGTGGTAAGTGGTGTGGTATCAGAAGCATGGTTTGGGAGTACTCGAAAATGTCCCCTTACAGAAACAGGCACAGTCTTTTGCCTCTCCCTCCTCTTGACTGTAAGAAATGTGAGTGCGGAGGCTAGAGCTCAGGCAGCCGGTCTGATCACCAAGGCAGCTTAATGGCAACCACGGCAAAACAAGACACGAGTATTGGCAATCCCACAGTCTACCCCTGAGGGCAGTGAGAAATACATCTATTCACAACTGCTGAAATGTTCCAGCACAAACAACCTACAGTAGCAGAGCCACACAAAAACAAGAGTCTCCTTCCCAAGTCATTTTCTTACAAATCAGTCGAAGGACTGCTGACCTGTGAGTGTGGTAAGAGCGGCAGGGACTGGCTCCCCCAGGCCCACTGGGTTCCCATCTGCTGGTCACCTTCTGCTACCTTCTGCTGGTCAGCCCTCTCACTCTGAACTTCCCAGGTCTCTCCAGTGTCTAATCCTCAAGATGACCTACTCTCCACCACTAGTGTCTCTTTACAGTGGAATGTGTCGTGGAACAGCCCTGAGTCCTCCCCTGTCTACAGGACTGTATGGACGGCCTGAGTCCTCCCTTGTCCACAGGACTGTATGGACAGCCCTGAGTCCTCCCCTGTCCACAGGACTGTATGGACGGCCTGAGTCCTCCCCTGTCCACAGGACTGTATGGACAGCCCTGGGTCCTCCCCTGTCCACGGGACTGTATGGACGGCCTGAGTCCTCCCCTGTCCACGGGACTGTATGGACGGCCTGAGTCCTCTCCTGTCCACGGGACTGTATGGATAGCCCGGTCTAGCTCAAAAGGTCAGGTTGGCAAACCATGGCCCGTGGACTGAATCTACATTGTCTTGAGTTTCCAAACATACAATGTCATTGGAACCTAGCCCCAACCAATTTACGGAGTGGCTATGGCTGCCTTCCACAGACAGCAGAAGCAGTAGAGGTGCGGACAGTGTGGTCCCCAAAAACCTAGACACACAGCATCTGGCACTTACACTGCGTTCCTTCAAACCCTCCCCATGTTCACCTCAGGCCTTGATGACATCAGCAGGTCCCCGTGAAACACTCTAGAAATGAGGGGCAATCTTGCTAGCCGTGTAGGGCTTGTCTAGCCCCTCTTCCCAGCCACAGACTGGACTGACCGAGGAGGGCAAGGGCTGATAACAGATGCTTATGGGAGTGATTCAGAGCGTAAATGACTGTTTACAGACCCAGGACCTCTCCACAACCTGGGGCTTCTTCCTCCCCTGCAATTAATGGTCTTCCCCCCTATTATTCTGAAAACCTCCCCGGTGCCCCACAGGGATCCTGCCTCACACTAAAGTGCCTGTTTACTGTGACTATCCCCCTTTCGGGCAAGGAAGTGTCCATTGCGCAGTGTTCTGGAATCAGTATTTGAGTCTACTTAACAGCTCTTGTGGGGAACAATCCAGAACCTAAGCGGCCATCGACCAGCTGTCTCCAGAGTTCTCTGGGAGCACTCTCCACAAACTATTATGTAACTGTTTATTTTCAGAGCTCACACTGACCTCACAGAGATGAAGCCTAATAAGCATATTCTTAGGGTGGGGACTTCCAGAGCTTCTTTGTCATGCATGTGTGTGTATATGTGGAGGTCAGATGTCAGTCTCAGGTGTGGTGTGCATGTGTGTGCATGCACATGTGGAGATCAGGTGTCAGTCTCAAGTAGTTTGTCATGCATGTGTCTGTGCACACATGTGGAGGCCAGGTGTCAGTCTCAGGTGTAGTGTGCATGCATGTGTGTGTGAACATGTGCAGGTCAAATGTCAGTCTCAGGTGTAGTGTGGCATGCATGTGTCTGTGTGTGTACATGTGGAGGCCAGGTGTCAATCTCAGGTGTAGTGTGCATGTATGTGTGTGTGTGCACATGTGGAGACCAGGTGTCAATCTCAGGTGTAGTGTGCATGCATGTGTGTGCACATGTGGAGGCCAGGTGTCAATCTCAGGTGTAGTGTGCATGCATGTGTGTGCACATGTGGAGACCAGGTATCAGTCTCAAGTAGTTTGTCATGCATGTGTCTGTGCGCACATGTGGAGGCCAGATGTCAATCTCAGGTGTAGTTTCTTAGGTGCTATCCACTTTCTTTCAAATCACTAATAGTGTATGCGCAGACGCACACACCCACATACACACATGCACAGAGACGTATCATACATGTGGAAGTCAGGTGACAACCTCTGAGAGACCAGTTTCTCTTCCCACCATGTAAGTCCTAGAGATGGAAATCAGCTCTTTGGCCTTACCTGATGAGCCCTCTTGCCAGCCCCACTTTCTTTTTAAGACAGGGTATCTCAGCCAGGCGGTGGTGGAGCACACCTTTAATCCCAGCACTCGGGAGGCAGAGGCAGGCGGATCTCTGTGAGTTCGAGGCCAGCCTGGACTACAAGAGCTAGTTCCAGGACAGGCTCCAAAAGCTATGGAGAAACCCTGTCTCGAAAAAAAAAAAATTAAAAAAAAAAAAGACAGGGTATCTCAATAGAACCCGGAGCTTATCAACTAGGATATACTGCTGACCAAGGAACCCCACACATCTGCCCGGCTCTGCGCCCCCAGCAGGGGACTACAAATCCACGCCACCATACCCCACTTTTCATGTGGTTGCAGGGTTCAAACTCAGGTCCTTGTGCTTACAAACAACCACTTCACAGACTGAGCCACGACCACCTCTGTTCTCAAGCGACTCTTTTGGGGAATCTTCCAGAATTGACAAGTTGCTTTGAAAAATTTTCCTGGAGACCCCCAATTCCTAACTGTTCTAATGCTTGAGGCACGACACATTCCAGAACTTAATAGTCTACAGCTTTCTCCTCCTCTCCTCTCCCTCTGGAACAGGGTCCTGTTCTGTGTAGCTCAGGATGGTCTCAAACTCAAGGCAATCCTGTCTCTGGCTCCACACTGGTGGGATTATAGTGTGAGCCACCGTGCCCAGCCCTACTTACTAATTTTTCTAAGTGTTCCCTAGTACTTAAAACTATTTATATTTGCAATTTTATTCGGGGCCTCCTCCCTATACTCAGGCATAGAGAAACCCCAAACCCAGGTCTCACAAATACATTCCTTGGGTATGTAAGAGTGTCGGGCTTCGGGCTTCTATGGGAGTATTTCCAGAAATATCCTCCTGATGTTATTAGGAGGGCCATATCGGTGCTACGGGGACACATCACAGGAGCTCTAATTTATTTGTACCTCCAGCCAACGGCGTCACCAATGCGAGACCTTCAGGTTCCCACTCACTTGGGCCAGATGCCCAGCAACCTCCTAACGGTAGAGCAGGGGGCGCGGCTTGAGCACGCCCCACCCCCTCAAGCCCCGCCCCGTCGGCGCGCGTGCCTCTCGCAGACTCGCGGGGCCCCCCCTTACCTCCGGCGGCTGCTGATTGGTTCCTGGGGCGCGGCGCGCGCTCCGAGTGACAGGAGTGCAGCGTGGGCGGGGAGGGTCCTCCACCTGCCGAGTTAATGGCGCCGGAAGGTCACAAACGTGAGAGAGAGGCAGAGAAAGCGGGTGCCAGCTATTCCGGAACAGGCCTCGGCGTCCCGGAAGCGCCCAGAGGAGGAAGAAGAGGAAGACAGTGTGCAGTCCAAATCAGGCCCCGCTCTGCTGGCTCTGCGCATGCGCTGCGGACTGGGCGCGCGCGCGGAGGTTCCTGGTTTCGGTACGCAAGCGGATTACGGAAGAGGCGGGGAGCACGGTGCGGCTGAAAATGGCGCATGCGCATGGTTCCTCTGGGCGGGCCTGGTGTTTGGGTGGGCGGGCCGCTCCTTAGATTTCAAGTTCGAATCCCGGGTCTTCGGTAGTTTTGGCGGGACGGGGTAGGATGTGGCGGAGAGGAGTAATTCCAGTGTTCTGGGCCGACCGAATGCTGCAAATACAGGACTGACTAGGGACTGGCTGTGGGGCGCGATCTTGAAGGGCTTATGGGCACGGCCCAGTTCAACAAGGGCAGCGAGAACACCTAGTTCAGTGGTTCTCAACCTTCCTAATGCTGTGACCCTTTAAAACAGCCCCTCAAACAGGCGGTGGTGGCGTATGCCTTTACTCCCAGCACTCGGGAGGCAGAAGCAGGCGGATCTCTGTGAGTTCGAGACCAGCCTGGTCTACAAGAGCTAATTCCAGGACAGGCTCCAAAACCACAGAGAAACCCTGTTTCGAAAAACCAAAAAAATAAAACAGCCCCTCAAACGGGCGGTGGTGGCGCATACCTTTATTCCCAGGCATAAGCAAGTGGATCTCCGAGTTCGAGCCCAGACTGGTCTACAAAGGAAGTTCCAAGACAGCTAGGGCTGCACAGAGAAACCCTGTTTAGAAAAATCAAATAATAGTAATAATAATACAGTTCCTTGTGGTATGGTGACCAACCATAAAATTGTTTTCGTTACTACTTCATAACTGTAATTTTGCTATTATGAATCGTAATGTAAATACCTGTGTTTTCCCATGGTCTTAGGCGACCCCTGTGAAAGAGTCGTTGGACACCCCCACCAGGGGTCGGGACCTGCAGGTTGAGAAAGGGCTGACCTAGAGAAAGGTCTAGACTGGCATCTGTGGCGAGCGATGGGCAGCAGAAGCCTCAGGTGCACGCGGCCTGATTGAGGGCAGAACTATCATATCAATTACTGATGGCTGCTAGGAGCCTGGGTCTGCAAAAGGGGCAGACATTCAAAAGGCTTCACGCACAGCATGAAGCTGCAAGAAGGCATAAGACAGTGGGCTGCACTCATGGGGACTCAGCCAACCACCAACGGAAAGACAGGTGAATGGCAATGTGCCACCTCCACCAGTTCTTTTCCTTTTTAAAAAGGCCTCAGTGTTGTTACCCAGCTGCCCCTGTCTCTTATCCTACCTGCGTGCACCCCCTTTCTTACCTTTGCCTCCAGAGTGCTGGGATCCTGCCCCCTCCAGCTCTTCTTTGTTTCCTCCCTCTTTCTCTTTTGTACTAAGTAAAGAAAGGGAGCCTTGCTATGTAGCATTTCAACACACACACACACACACACACTATGGTCTCCATGCATGCTAATCTCAGTGATGGCCGTAACTCAGACAGCATCCCCCCCTTCCCCACCCCCAGCTCTTCTCACCATTCTCCTGTGGGCAGCTGCCAAGACTTAAAGTTTGCCTTCCCTTTCTTTCAAATTTCAATACAAGTGCCCTCTGGAGTGCTGAGATACAGACATGCTCCATGATGCCTGTCTATGTGAGGCTGGGGATTGACCTACAGCTTCATGCATCCTAGATAAGTACTCTGCCGCCTGGACCACATCCCCAGCCTCCGAAGGAGTTTTGTAATTAAAGCTTGGCGACAGAAAGCACGGGTTTACTGGCTGAAGGTGGCCTGCAGGGCATGGCTGTTGGAGGGCTGTTCATAAAGAGCTCAATGCTTCTGCAGTCACTGGAGCTTTAAGCAGGATGTGTGGCCTCTGGGGGTTAGGATGAGGCTTGAATTAAAGGCTTGTCTATTTTGTAACATTTATTGTGTGTGCATGGGTGTGCACGTACACATGGAGGCAGAGGGTGACTTGCAGAAGTCAGTACTCTCTTTCCATCACATGGGTCCCACAGATCAGACTGAGGGCCCAGATTTGGCAGCAAGCCGGCTCACCGATCCCTGAGTTTTAGCATACATATATTTGAGATCGGGTATTGGGGACTGAACTTAAGCACTCTACCACTCAGCTACAACCCAGCTCTCTACTTATATTTTTTAAAGATTTCTTTTTTTATGTGTATGAGTGCTTTGCCTGTAAGTATGTTTGAGCACCATGTGTATGCCTGGTGCTGTCAGAGACCAGAAGAGGGCATTGGATTCCTGGAACCAGAGTAACAGAAGGTTTTGAGCCACCACAAAGGTGCTGGGAATTGAACTCCTGCCCTCTACAAGAGCAGCCAGTGCTGTTGACTGCAGAGCCATTTTTCCAGGCCAGATTTTATTTTTTGAGACCAAGTCTTAAATTGCCCATGAACTCACTCCAAAAATAGGCCTCTTCTGGCTTCCACAGGCACAGCATGGATGTGGTGCACAGACATACACGCAGCAAAACACTCATACACATAAAAACAAAAACTAGACGTCACTGACATCAAACTCTGGCCTCCATGTTCAATCACGCGGAGTGAGTGCACTCATCTGTGCACACACCACCAAACGGGCAGGGAGAGGATAAGCATTGACCTTGGGCCACTGTGTACCAGGCTGTGCCTCCCCTGACTTCTCTCGGTACAGCTCCGTACAGCTCCCTCCCTTATTGACAGGAAAGTGGAAGCTGAACTCGAAGGCCCCGTGGTTGGGGGGTATCAGAGCCCAGCTACCAAGCCAGGGTTGACTCACCCAGGGAGAGTCAGCTACACAGTCCGCCACAGAGCTCTCAAGCTGGCAGCCGCTCAGGCTGTTCAGCTTTCTGTTGATGCCTACACACGCATCCTGAGCCTTCCTTCTATAAACACGTATTCCTGTGTATACATGCATGTGGCAGTATTCTTTTTAATTAGTATTTAATTATTTTGTGTGTATGGGTGTTTTGCCTGCATGTGTGTAAGTGCACCCACCATGTGTGTGCTTGGTTCCCATGGAGGTCAGGAGAGGGCATCAGATCCACTGGGAATGGAGTTTCAGCGTTCATCATGGGGTGAATGCAAACAGCTCCTGGGTGCTGCCAACTGAGCTCCAGTTTCAGTGAGAGACCCTGTCTCACTGGGCAGTAAGGTAGAGAGCAATGGAAGAAGACACTCAAGGTCCTCCTACGGCCTCCATGGGCGTGTGCACAGGTATGTGGACCCACACTCACGGGCATGCACCCTGCTTCCACACACAGGCCCGTCGTATGTCTGACATTGTGACTATAGTTACGACCAGTAAACCCTCCATGTGAAAGCCCTGAAAAACAGGCTCATGTGTTCTCAGCAGTAATACCGCTGAGTGTACGAGGTCGGTCAGGCAAATGTCAATTAGTCCGCAGCTGTAGGGCTCTAGATTCAGGTCCAGGCGCTACAGAAGAGGCAGACATTCAGGAGATAAAAGAGAGGGGGAGTCAAGTTTCTTACTGGTCTTGCATTTGGAGGGAGTCCTGGTTCCAGACTCCTGTCTTGGCGAACTCTTTTTTTTTTCCTTCCTTCCTTCCTTCCTTCCTTCCTTCCTTCCTTCCTTCCTTCCTTCCTTCCTTCCTTCCTTCCTTCCTTCCTTCCTTTCTTTCTTTCTTTCTTTCTTTCTTTCTTTCTTTCTTTCTGAGACAGGGTCACCATGATGCCCCGTCTATTTTGGAATTCCCTATGTAGACCAGGCTAGCCTTCAGCTCACAGAGATCCGCCTGCCTGTGTCTCTGGGTTTCTGGGATTAAAGATGTGCACCCTCACACCCACACTTTTCTGAAGAGGAAACAGAGTTGTGGGGAAACAGTGGGTAGGAAGGCTGCATGCTGGGCTGGATTTCCATTCCCCAGAATGTCTCCTTTTTCCTTGTAGAAGCTCAAAGTGGGCTTGGACTTCTGGGGTGGGGGGGCATACTTCCTCTCTTCTCTTGTGACCTTGTTTGTTTGTTTTTAAGCTAAACAGCGGAGCAGTTTGCAAAGTTTGTGTTAATCCCCTATTGAACTGAAGGGCCCTCTGATGTCATCTGAAGGTCAGCGGGTTCTTCTGAGTTCTGTAAACCCAAGGAAGGATTATTATTTAGGGGCTAACATCTTAGTCATTTGTGTGCGGCTTTTTGGAGTTAAAAATGCTAAACCGGAACAAAGGAATATAATCCTTGCCAAAGGCTTAGTGAGGGCCATGAGCTTGTCCTGAGTTTTGGGTAGCCCAGGCTGGCTTTAAACCCCTGATCCTCCTGCCTCCACCTCCCGAGGACCATAGGCACGTGCCACCATGTTTGGCCAGGGGGCACCTCTGTAAGAATCAAGGAAGGAGACTTAATCCTTGCAACTGGACAGTTGGAACACTTCACAATTGAGTGTGCCGTAGTTGTGGCCTACATACGTTTATACCAAAACATTGTGTGGGGGCTGACGAGATAGTTCAGGTTCCTGCTGCTGGACCTGATGACCTGAGTTTCATCCTCAGCACCCACATGATAAAGAGAATGGCATTCTAAAAGTTGTCCGCTGCCTTCCATGTGTGTGCGTGCCACACCCACGTGCACGTGCATAGACACACTTATACCTGAGACAAACCTAATAAAATTCATTGCCCACCATACACATCCAATTTTTATGGATTAGTTTTACAAAGAAAATAAAACTAAGAAAAAGACAAGGGGATTGAGAATTTTAAAAGTCATAGGGTGTGGCAGGCCCCAGAAAGTTACTAT